GTTGATGTTTTCTCGTCACCTTTGTGTGAGGTTCCCAACTTGGTCACATCTGGGACAAACGGGTCCTGGAGTTTGGTCTGCACGTAGCTCCAAACAAACCAACAATGAGACCTCCACAACTCTCAGGCTGTAAACATGTTTGTGTTGTCTTCAGCTGTGGCATTTAAACAGAGAAACAGCAGCAGCTAAAGATTGGTTCTGTTATTGGGGACTGCCTATAAATATTAAATACAAAATTCCAACAAAAAATTCAAGATGGCTACCAAAGCTACATTTGAATGTCTTTAACTCAGTGATTTTCACACATACAGAGCTGAAATTTGGTGTTATAGCTGAGAACGTTCAACATCACATTCTGAATCCAAATCAAAAATCCAAGATGGCCACCATAGCTAAAAAAATGACTATAACTCATTGATTTTTGGCCAAATTGATCTACAATTTGATATGATGGTAGCTGAGAGTGAACCCGAACACATAGTACTGTCATTTTTTTAAAATTGGCAGCAGTGTGGCAGTCCCCGTCAAAGTTTCTACAGGAACATTTTTTGCTCATCCTCTCTGTATGTCAACGGTTTTGAAAAATTTCCGTTATATTTCCACAAGTTCACAGTAGAAGAGACTTGTGACCTCAGCTCTGAAGCTGAAACATCTCTGAACTGATTGAACCATGGCATAAACACCCTTAACAATGTTCAGTCAGGTCATCGGGACAGTTCCTTTTTTTGTTGAGATGTTTTGTCCTTCATCCAAAGGACTTCATCAGTCCGAGGAGCCAACAACAAACTTTATTCCACAAACAACACATTCCCATAGTAGACCAACCAGTTTGCTGGTGATAAAATGGTTTCTGGGGCTCGTCCTCTCCCCCGTCGACTCCTCTGAGGCAGCCATAGCCAAAGTGGTTCAAAACATCAAAGTTCATGCTCGATAATCCAGGTAAAGTTCAGTCAGGTCATCTGGATCTTGTTGAGACGTTTCATCCTTCATCCAAAGGACTTCATCAGTCCTTTGAAACCATCCAGATGACCTGACTGAACCTTATTGGATTTTTTTTTTTTTTTTTTAACCTGGATGACCGAGCATGAACTTTGATGATTGTTTACAAGTAGTTTCCTCAAATAATCGTGGTGGCTGAAGATTAATCTATGGCGGTGAAGGCCATCATTGGCCACTCCCTGGCTCCACCTCTGCACCTGATGGAGGATTGAATCGCTCCCTCCATGCACCACGATCTGTCACTCTGCACTGCCTCAGACAAACGTACAAACAAAGAAAACTCCAGTCCAAAATTTGAGTCCAGAAAAACACGTTTTTGAAAGCGACTAACATTTAATATTCAGATCGCTCGAGGGAAATCGGTGCATCGCTGGTTTGAATAGAAACATACAAAAAGAACTCCAGAAAACTTCCAGAGTAAACTTTGATTGTGCTTGCTGCTACTTATTGCATTTAGCTGTTAGCAAGTACATAATAGCCGACTGTCAGCTACGACCATGTCACACTTTAACTCAACACCTGTAAATTTGACAGAGCTGTAGCTGTTTCTGTGTTTGCAGAGCGGAGTCCATCTGAAAGAAAATACATTTTCAGAAGAACTGAAACCAAAGGCTTCATCTAAAACCAGCAGCTGAATGCATTTTTGTATTGAGCGGTACTCTCAGCTCTCAGTTATGTCTGTTAGGGGCGTGATGGTGCATTTATTCATACTGAATAGCTGCGGTACAAACATCTGGGTCCAGTGTCACGGTTTTAAGGATTTTTGAATGTCATGATCGTGTTCTGTGTTTGAAGGTCTGAAAATTTCAGTTTCAGTCGATGTATTTGTTAACTGTGTTCCCCATCTTCTCCGTCCTAAGTCAGATGCTCTGATGTCCACCCCCTCTGGTTACACTTGGGTTGTTGTGTTCAGTACTCCTGGTTTAGGTTCTGCTTAATAAATAAAGCCACATGCTGCTGAACTCTTGGGTGCCCAGTACTCATCCCTGCTCATCATGAAAGCACACAATCTTTGTGCTAACTTACACAGAGTAGAGGAATACACAATCTTAAGCCCGTTTCTCGTTGAGGTGTGACTGTTGGTAACTAGTTGGCGAGTCTCTCCAAAGATCCCAACGTTATAGAATTGTCACGCATGTCCCAAATCCTTCTCAGCTCAGTTTCTGTCATTCTAAAGAGCTCCAGCTGTGGCTTGACGCCTGCTCTTTGTGACTTAACCTTCTAGGGTACAGCCCCAAATGTCCCAGTCCAAAAAACACAATAATTACCATATTTTTTGGGCTATAAGGCACATTTAAAATCCTTTAATTTTTCTCAAAAATCGACAGTGAGCCTTATAATCAGGTGTGCCTTATAGTCTAAAAAATATGGTGTGTGTGTGTATATATATATAAACACTGGTCTATCTTCAGGGCAGCACGGTGGCACAACTGGTAGAGCTGCTGCCTCTCAGTGAGCAGGTCCTTGGTTCAAACCCCGGTCCAGGGGCCTTTCTGGGTCGAGTTTGCATGTTCTCTCCGTGCATGCGTGGGTTTTCTCCGGATGCTCCTGTTTCCTCCCACAGACCAAAAAAATGCATGTTAGGCTGATTGGTAACTCTAAATTGTCCCTAGGTGTGAGTGAGAGAGTGAATGGTTGTTTGTCTCGTTTGTCTCTATGTGGCCCTGTGATGGACTTGCGACCCGTCCAGGTTGTACCCCGCCCCTCGCACAGTGATTGCTGGACATGGGCACCGGCGACCCCCGTAACCCAAAATGGAATAAGCGGGTAAAGAAAATGGATGGATGGATGGTCTATCTTCAATTCTAAAAAGTACTCCTGTATATTTAATGAAAAAACGAGCGGCTGCGAAGATTTGTATGATGTTGGCAACAAAAAATGTCTATACAGCCTTGAATACAGTTTTGTTAACCAGAGCGTTTGGTTCGCTCGTCTCTTGGTTACAAACAGAATTTCATGAAAATGTTCCCATTTTCTCACAAAGTTGCGTTGCCATCAGTCGCAGCTCCGTGAGATCCTGTCTTAAAGCTCTCTACAGTAAAACAAAACAAGAATTGTGCGCTGGAGCTGGATAAGTGTTGGTTTGTTCAGATAAGTTATGTGGAAAAAGTTTATCGGCGAGTGAAAGTGGTGTATAGAGAGCCAAAAGAGACATGTGGTAAATGCTAATTATGCTGCACGTATTTAAAGAGCGCATTGCATTTAACATTTTAGAAGATGTCATTCAGGTTTTTATTATTTTATTTTGTTTTGCATCATTTTTAGGTCAAATTATTTAAAACTCCTCTTTGTCTTTTTAACAGTTGTTATAGCTTGCTATAATGTGCTGCATGCCGTACTCTTGCTACATTTTCATTAAAATGATAGCTGACAAATCCTACCTTGCTCTACACAACCTGTTGTTCTACAGCCGTCCTGGTAACAAGACTGGTTTGTTTCTTCCGTTTTTGAATTTTGGGAGGTTTACTGTCTTTTAGTTCTTCCTGTTTGGAATCGAATCATGATTTATGTGCAGTGTTAAATCATTAAAAAGTAATATCATCTGCATAGAGTGCTATGAAGAGAGCTTTTTGTAAAATATAACCTGCACAGATTCCGTCAAATCCCCCCACAAAATGTCAATGTTGAATACTGAGTGGGTGTTTTGACATGGAGGCACCGTTATCAAGATTTTCCAGGGGTCTCTGTAGACCCGGACACAGGCCTCTTTATGTGATGTGCTTCAGGGTAAACAGCCCTATCAAGGTAAGCCTATCCAGGTGGGATAGAACTCTGCTGGTGCTTACTTCTTATTGAGCTGACTGGAACATAGACATCTGGCATGATAAATACACGAACAAGCATCTTAAACTGTGTAAAACTTCATATAATACCCTTAACATTAAACCTTGTTGCTCCATTTTTAAACACCCATTGAAGACTGATGCATTGTGGTATGGTACCCATTACTTCTGATTCACTCGAGCTAATTTAATGAAACTTCATTCACTTATGCATCATCACCAGACGGAGTGTTGCGTTCACCTCACATCACCTCAGCGCCAAGGTCAAAGTCAAAACAAGGTCTTTGCTTGTCCAGGCTAGAACTTCTCATCTGTTCAGTACGATTTCATAAAACTTGATAAAAATTTGAATGACCACTAGACCAGTGGTTCCCACCCCTCATCCTCGAAGAACACTATCCTGCATGTTTTAGCTGTTTCCCTGCTCCATCACACCTGAATCAGTGGTTTAATTACCTCCTCATGTTCTGCAGAAGTCCGTTAACAACCCATTCAAATCGGTGTGTCAAAGCAGGGAAAAAAGGAAAACATGCAGGATAGTGTTCTTCGAGGATGAGGGTTGGGAACCACTGCACTAGACAAGATGTTGTGTAATATTTTCATCAACCCAGCTCTAAGGTCAAGGTCTAAGGTTATACAAGGTTTTTGCTATTCTGGGCCATTGCTATACATGGCTGTATTGTTGTATAATAGTTTGTCTATGGGCGTATAATATGTGGTACTTTTGTTTTCAATATTTACAAGTTTCTTTATTTTTCTTTTCGTGCATCCACAATCTTCAATTAAAAAAAACCTAGCATTCCTTGATGTAAATTATCTTAACAGCTGTTTTAGTCAAACCTTTAAAGTAACTTTTTGTGTGACATTGCAACATGTTAATGCTCAGTATATATGTTGCAAATTACTCTCAGCTGCTACATCTCCAAATTTTAGTGTAATATCTGTGAAACTGACAGATTTATGGCCATTTTGTGTTTGCTAAAGTTGATTAGCATGCTTAGGATTGACTCTAGAAGGTAACTACTTGTAGCTGTACAACAAAACCTGTCCACTAGTTCATGAGATATTTTACTAATAGACAAACTCACACATGCACACACAGTTATGTGCAAAAACTGTATTTTTAACACCTGTTGGCAGGCAGCAACCGCTAAACAAATGTTTCTTCCTGCAAATAGCACATTGACCTAACCAACGTTTTATTTGCTCTTTGACCAGCAGAGCCAGTCGACGTCCTAAAAGTATTAGCGTTTCAAAATTACCCCGAAGGAGTGACAAAAACATCCGGGTTCTGTGCAAACCGAAGAGCATCGCAGCCAGACTCAGCTTACAGAGTCTCCAATCAGATCCAGATCAGCGCCCCCACTTCCCAGTTATTCCCTGGTAAGAAACCTCCCCACCCTGTGTGAGAATTCAAGATAAATGGTGAAACTGTCCTTTAACTGGTTCCTTCATTGGTTTGATCCGTCTTTGTTCTGGTCCTGCAGGTGGTGTTTTCCCAGAGGATTTTTCCATCCTGAGCACAGTGCGTCCCAAATCTGGCCTGCAGTCCTTCCTGCTGTCCGTTTACAACAAGCAGGGGGTCCAGCAACTGGGCGTGGAGGTGGGGCGCTCACCTGTGTTCTTGTATGAGGATCAGAGCGGCAGTCCAGCCCCGGAGGACTACCCGCTGTTCCGAGGGCTCAACCTGGTTGATGGGAAGTACGTCAAAGCTCACACGTGTTCTCGACTGAAAAGCGTTCTGAAATGCACCGGCTGAAGCGAATTTAGTGCAAAGTTTGTAGCGTGAAGTAATTAAATATGACCTTTCATGCCTGAGTTTTAACCCTAGGTCATTTCCTGAGTTACAGCTGTTCGAATCAAACCTTCTAAATGACGTGATCTCATGCATTGTTATGAGATCTTGTGAGATAAGATGGTTATCTATCTATCTATCTATCTATCTATCTATCTATCTATCTATCTAT